AGTTTATTTCGAATCAAACAATCTTAGCCGTTTAACCTTTAATTAGGCCAATCTTTAATTTATTTCGAATCAAAAAAAATTTAACCAATATATTTTGATAAAACCGTTAAAATCGCTATTAAACTAGCGAATCAGTCAAACTGAAAAAGGTTCACCCCATCGGCTAGGTCAAAAGACCAACTACCTTATACAAAAATTAATTAATTAAAACTTTTAAATTTTATTTTAATTTTAAAATTTAAATTGTCTTGAACTGAAACATACACAGCACTATAATATTAAATAGGAGTATAAGAGTGAAACAACTAATTTTTTCCTCCTGTTCCTTCTGTGTGATTGTAAAATAAAAGTTAACAGCTATTTGGACGAGAAGTTCATTCCTAATCAAACAATCTCAGTCGTTCAATTTTTAATAAGGTCAATCTTAGTTTATTTCAAATCAAACAAATCTAAGTAATATATTTTGATAAAACGGTTCAAACCGTGATTAAACTAGTAAATTAGTCAAACTGAAAACGATTCAGCCTAATCGGCTAAGTCAAAAGACCAACCAATTTATAACAAAATTAATTAATTAAAACATTTTAATTTTATTTTAAAATTTAAACCATATTGAACTGAAACATGCGCAATACTATAATATTAAATAAGAGTATAAGATTCACTTTATATAAGTGAAACTACTCACATTTTTTTATCTCGATGTGGGATTGTAATTATTTTAAAGTTAAATGTTATGAGAGTTTTAAAATCTCATACAAAATTATTTTTAAAATCAAAACGTCTATGTGAGATTGTAAAATAAAAGTTAAGTGGAAGCTAACCAATGAAGATTTTCTTAATTTTTTAAAATTAAAAAAAATAATTAAAAATGATATTGATTATAGGGTTTCTCACTAAAAATCTTCTTTTGCTAATATAAATGTAAGCATAAGATTCACTTTATATAAATGAAACAATTCACTTTTTCCTTCTTTTCTTGATGTGTGATTGTAAAATAAAAATTAAATAGAAGCTAACCAATTGGGATTTTATTAATTGTTTAAAATTAAGAAATTTCAATAATTTATATATATTAGAGCATAAGATTCATTTTATATAAATGAAACAATTCACCTTTTCCCTTTTTTTTTACCAATTTGGAATTGTAAAATAAAAGGTAATGGAAGTTAGGCGATGGAAATTTTCTTAATTTTTTAAAATTAAGAAAATTTAATAATTTTAGAATGAGGGTTTAGAACTTCTAGAAGGTTTCTCCCTTAAAACCCCTTTTATAAGATTCATTTTATATAAGTGAAAAAACTCACTTTTTCTTTCTTTTCCCGATTTGGGATTGTAACACTTTATATAAATGAAACAACTCACTTTTTCTTTCTTTTCTCGATGTTTGTAATTGTTTTAAAGTTAAATATTATGAGAGTTTCAAAATCTCATACAAAATTATTTTTAAAATCAAAACGTCTATGTGGAATTGTAAAATAAAAGTTAAATGAAAGCTAACCAATGAGAATTTTCTTAATTGTTTAAAATGAAGAAAAAAAAAATGAGCATGAGAAGAAAATCAAAAAAAATGAGTATGAGGTATTTATCATATGGTTTCTCATTAAAAATCTTCTTTTACTTATATCAATGGAAGTATAAGATTCATTTTATGTAAGTGAAAAAAATTCACTTTTTCTTTCTTTTTTCGATGTGAGATTGTAAAATAAAAGGTAAATGGAAACTAACCAAGGAGAATTTTCTTAATTGTTTAAAATTAAGAAAATTCAATAATTTTAAAATAAGGCTTTAGAGTTTCTAGAAGGTTTCTCCCTAAAAATTTAATTTTCCTTATATAATATATAAATAGATAATGAAACAAACTTTGCTTTTTCTTCTTCTCCCGATGTGAGATTATAAAATAAATCATAAACTAATTAAAGTTTTATTTTTATATGGTTAAATGAAAGTTAGGCAATGGAATTCTTTTTAATTGTTTAAAATTAATAAAATCAGTATGAGAAATTGGATTTAAACCAGCGAATTAGTCAAACCCAAAATGGTTCAACTTAATCGGTTAGGTCAAATGACCCATCAACTTATATAAAAATTAATTAATTAAAACTTTTAAATGTTATTTTAATTTTAAAATTTAAACTGTCTTAAATTGAAGCATACATAATATTAGACTATTAAGATTTACTTTATATAAATGCAACAAATCACTTTTTTTCCAATGTGGGATTATAAAATAAAAGTTAACAATTATTTGGACGAAAATTTTATTTCTAATCAAGCAATCTTAGTCTTTCAATCTCTAATCAGATCAATATTTAGTTTATTTTAAATCAAACAAATCTAATCAATATATTTTGATAAAACTGCTAAAATCGCAATTAAACCAACAAATCAATCAAATTAAAAATGCTTTAGCCTAATCAGTTAGGTCATAATTAATTAATTAAAATTTTTAAATTTTAAATTAGATTGAATTAAAACATGCAGAATACTACAATATTAAATGAGATGGAAGTATAAGATTCACTTTGTATGAGTAAAAAAATTAATTTTTTTCATTATTTTCCCGATGTGGAATTATCAAATAAAAGCTAACCAATGGAGATTTTCTTAATTGTTTAAAATTAAGAAAATCAAGAAAATTAGTATGAGATATTGAAACTCTTACAAGACTCCTTACTAAATGGGATAGGAGTATAAGATTCCCTTTATATGAGTAAAACAACTCATTTTTTTCCTTCTTTTCCCAATATGTGATTATCAAATAAATGCTAACCAATGGAAATTTTCTTAATTATTTAAAATTAAGAAAATTAAGAAAATTAATATGAGATATTGAGGCTCTGTTTGGAACCATTTTCAAATGAGTTTTCTACTCCCACATTTGAATATGATATTTGGATAGAGTTGTGAAATTAATTTTCCACAACTCTGCAGAAAACTCTGTTTAGAGCACGATTTTCAAAAAAAAAATTTGAAATTTGACTTAACTGGTCGTCCCACCGGTCGTCCGGCCGGTTGACCGAAACAGTGCAAATTTTTTTTTTTTTGTAATTTTAGATGAGGGTTTGAAACTTCTAGAAAGTTGCTCTCTTAAAACTCTCTTTATAAGATTTATTTTATATAAGTGAAATAATTTTTTTTTTCGATGTGGGATTATAATACTTTATATAAGTGAAACAACTCTTTTTTTTTTTTTCTTTTTCAAAATTTGGGATTGTAATTATTTTGAAGTTAAATATTAAGAGAGTTTCAGAATTTCATACATAATTTTAGAATGAGGGTTTGGAGCTCGTAGAAGGCTTCTCCCAAAAACCCAATTTTCCTTGTATAATATATAGATAGATAGTGAAAAAAACTTTGCTTTTTCTTCTTCTCCCGATGTGAGATTATAAAATAAATCATAAACTAATTAGAGTTTTATTTTTATATGGTTAAATGAAAGTTAGGCAATGGAATTTTTTTTAATTGTTTAAAATTAATAAAATCAATATGAGAAATTGGATTTAAACTAGCGAATTGGTCAAATCCAAAATGGTTCAACCTAATCGATTAGGTCAAATGACCAATCAACTTATATAAAAAATAATTAATTAAAACTTTTAAATGTTATTTTAATTTTAAAATTTAAATTGTCTTAAATTGAAGTATACACAATATTAGACTAATGCAACAAATCACTTTTTTTTCCAATGTGGGATTATAAAATAAAAGTTAACAATTATTTGAACGAAAATTTTATTTCTAATCAAGCAATCTTAGTCTTTCAATCTCTAATCAGATCAATAGTTAGTTTATTTTAAATCAAACAAATATAATCAATATATTTTGATAAAACTGCTAAAATCGCAATTAAACCAACAAATCAATCAAATTAAAAATGCTTTAGCCTAATCGGTTTTAAATTAGATTGAATTAAAACATGCAAAATACTACGATATTAAATGGGATGGAAGTATAAGATTCACTTTGTATGAGTAAAAAAATTCATTTTTTTCATTCTTTTCCCGATGTGGAATTATCAAATAAAAACTAATCAATGGAGATTTTCTTAATCATTTAAAATTAAGAAAATCAAGAAAATTAGTATGAGATATTGAAACTCTTACAAGACTCCTTACTAAATGGGATAGGAGTATAAGATTTCTTTTATATGAGTAAAACAATTCATTTTTTCCCTTCTTTTCCCAATATGTGATTATCAAATAAATGCTAACCAATGGAGATTTTATTAATTATTTAAAATTAAAAAAATTAGTATGAGATATTGAGGCTCTGTTTGGAACCATTTTCAAACGAGTTTTCTACTCCCACATTTGAATATGATATTTGGATAGAGTTGTGAAATTAATTTTCCACAACTCTGCAGAAAACTCTGTTTGAAAGCGTGATTTTCAAAAAAAAAAATTCGAAATTTGGCCTAACCGGTCGTCCCACCAATCGTCCGGCCGGTTGACCAGAACAGTGCAAATTTTTTTTTTTTTTTGCAATTGATATGTTAATTTTTATATATTCGAAAAAAATATTTTCTGAATTTTTTATGTGCTTTAATAAAATTTTGAGTTGTATGTTTGGTTATGAGTTGTAAGTTTTTGTATCAAATATCAAATGTCACATAAAAAATTTCCAACTCAATTCAAAACTCTTTTCAAAACTATTTTCGAAACTCTTTCACCAAACAAATTTTCCACACTCAAATCATAATTCCAAAACTCACAAACTCAAAATACAACTCATACTCTCAAATCATAGTTACAAAACTCTACCAAACGCAACCAAAAACTTTCGCAAGATTACTCATTAAAAATATCATTTTCTTTATATAATATATAGATTTTAACTTATTTTATTTTTATTACCTATTTTAATTCAAATAACCGTTCCCAAACAGGCCCATGTATGTCATCCATCACGACAATTACTTCTCACAGTAGTTACCCATTTATTAATCAAGATTAATAAAAGCCATTAAAATGATGCCACAAATTTCTGATTCTGTTTTTGTTTTTGTTTTTGTCTCTGTACCATCATAACCTCTAGGGAAAGCAATAGCAAAAGAGAGGATTGATGGAAGGTGAGATCAAGAACTTCATAGTGGTATGGATCACAGTCTTGGCATCTCTATTCTATTGTCACACCATTGGTAAGTTCATCCCCAAAGGTACAACTAGACTCTTCACACTCCTTCCAATCATGTCCCTCTTTCTCTTCCTCCACCTCAAGCTTACCACCATCCACCTTGGCTCCATCACCTGTTTCTTCATAGCATGGCTTGCCAATTTCAAGCTCCTCCTCTTTGCCTTTGGTCAAGGCCCCTTATCATCACCATCATCATCATCACCACCCATCTCATTCCCAAGATTTGTCCTCATAGCTTGTCTACCCATCAAGATTCACCACCACCCACCACCACCTCCAAACCTACAAAAACCTTCAAAAATAGAAATCAAAGAATACCCATCTCATAAATCACTCGAAACAGTTCTTCTACATGCACGGAATCCGATCACAGAACCAGACACAACCCGCTCAACTAAGCTGGGATCCAAAGGGTACCACAAATCACCTCTAGATTATGCTACAAAGGTTGTGTTTATAGCTATGCTTCTTCAAGTGTACAAGTATAAAGAGCATGTACATCCCAAGCTCATCTTGTTGGTTTATTGCTTCCACGTCTATGTCTCTCTTGAGCTCTTGCTAGCCCTAATGACAGTCTTGGCTCGAGCCATAGGCCAAGTAGAGCTCGAGCCACCCTTCAACGAGCCTTACCGGTCTAGCTCGCTTCAAGACTTCTGGGGAAGAAGGTGGAACCTCATTGTAGCGAGTATTCTACGCCCCACCGTATACGATCCTGTCAGGCGGATTTCTGGCCGTCTGATGGGGAAAAAGTGGGCCTCAGTCATGGCAATCATAGCCACTTTTTCGGTGTCCGGTTTGATGCATGAGCTGGTTTTTTACAACATGGGAAGAGAAAAGCCCACGTGGGAAGTCACGTGGTTCTTTGTCATTCATGGGGTGTGTTTGGTATTGGAAATTTGGGTGAAAAAGGCATTATATGGGAAGTTCAGGTTGCCGGCGATCGTGTCGGGGCCGGTGGTGGTGGTGTTTGTAGTGGCCACCGGTTCTTGGCTGTTCATTCCTGCGTTCTTGCGTTGTCACGCCGATGTTAGGGTTAGGAGAGAGATTGCAACATTTGTAGAGTTTGTGAAGGAAATTGTTTGGAGTTTTGGATTTAGATCTTTCAACGTTGTGAGTGTACCTCATGGTGATTAGATGGCTCAAATTTCTACTTGTATTTTTTTTTTTTTTTATTTTGTAATGGAATAATTGGTAATTTAATATTCTATTTTGATTTCAGTATTGCATTTTCAAAAAAAAAATTCATACGTAGTCAATGGTTTATTTTCATGTACATCAAGAGAGAGATAATGAGGACTTTTTGTTTTCAATGAGAGAGATGTACGACGATAAGGGCAGCTTGTTCTTATACTCACAAATGATTTCTTTGTTTATAACGATTGATTTTATGAAAGTATTTACTTTTCTTTTGCCTCTTTTGTTTCTATAGAAAGAGACAGAAGTTGGAGTAATGGTGAAGAGAATGTCAGCCTATCTTTATTTCAAAGTCAAAAATAATTAAGGAATATTTTAAAATTTAAAATGGCATAAACATTATAAACGATAATTTTTAATTTTAATGACATGTTCATTGCAACGGTATGTAATTTTATTCTTTTATATTTTTTCTTCTACTAATGGTAAGAAAAATAATAAAAATAAAAAACTGATAAGAAAAATAAGAACAGATGGTGATGTATGCAGGATTTTTTTTCTTCTTGTTTTTTCATCCTACAATGTTAGAATAGTAATAGTCCAATCATCTAGAAACTTACATCATAGGAGAGACAAATAATTATTTAAGTTTTTTCAACAAAATGAACTGAATAATTTAATTTATACCCTAAACAACATTTCATTTTTAGACATACACAACACAAAAAAATTTATTAGATATTTTATCAATAGACACAAATGTATTAAATTTTACATATGTTTATTAATGTTTGCCCACTATTTTTATACCTACAAAAAAAAAATAATAAATAAAATGTTATTCTTGCGGTCATGACTAGCAAGGAAAAATATTGTTAACCATCTTATCATCCTCATACATGATTAAACAACACAACTGTTTTGCAACTGATTATTTGGTGTATTTAGAATAATATATTTTAGATTATTTATAACATAACACTTGTTTGTTGTCTTTAAAAAATTAACATAAAAATAACATAAAAAATACCATAACACTTGTTTGTTGTTTTTAAAAAATTAACATAAAAATAAGCAATAATTATTCATAAATCTCTTTTCACCTACTTATATTCCACTTAATTTAAATTATTTTGTTATATTCTAATAACTTCTATAGATAATATAATTACTAAAATATTTTTAATAACAATATTCACATTGACAGTGTGAACATTCACATCACTAAGATGCTAACCGTTCAAAAAAATATTTGTAAGGATAAAATTATCCATAAAATATCTAAAAATAATAAGATTTATTCAGTAACACTATACAAAAATTAATATACATAATAAAGAAAGGAAAAAAAAAAAACTTCCCTCTGTACAGCCCCATTTTATGACATTCTTCGATTGTTCCATAAGATTGACATTTCACTATGGCATATAGAACCAAAAATAACATCTAGAACGCTCAAAATTATGCATAAAATGCATCTTATTCAGAATTTCACAAGCTATTATAAAATTATGGAAAAATTATGTAAATAGTCATATAGTTTACACAATATGTCAATTTAGTCTCTATAGATTCAATTTGTTCGATTTTACCCTTTTAATTTAACGGATTATGTCATTTTAGTCCAATAAATAACGATTGTTAAGTTAATTTAACAAAAAGTCAAACAGTGTGTCAATTTGGTTCCTATATTTTTCACAATGTGTCAATTTAGTCCCTGTCAAAATCAAAAAATGAAAACTACAAGGACCAAATTGACACATTGTGTAAAGTATAGGAACCAAATTAACACATTGTTTAACCTTCCGTTAAATTAACTTAACAACCGTTATTTATTAAACTAAAATGACACAATCCGTTAAATTAAGGGATAAAATTGAACAAATTAAAATTACTAAGATCAAATTAATACATCATATAAACTACGGAGACTATTTAAATAATTTATCCTAAAATCATCATCATCATCATGCCACGTTAACAAAATTAAAAGTACACATAGAAGACTCCACGCCAACGAAAAATACACGCATGTGGTTGACTTATATGATTATAGAAAAAATTAATAGTAATAAAAAATATGGAATGCCCTTAGAATGACACGTGGCAAGAATAAACTAATTAATTTAGAATAAAGATAAAATTCATACATAGAAGTGTGGGTCAGATTTACATTAATCATATTCATAACCTAACTAGAATGTAGAGGAAATAACTACAAAGTGGTGCAATAAAAAATATATAAATTAATAAATACAAAAAATTATACATTTTAATGATTAAAATATTATATTTGTTTATGATTTTATAATTCTTTTTGTTGCACCGCTGTGTAATTATTTCCCCTAGAATGTAACTTTTACACGTGCGCCCACCATAGATTTGTTATTGATAATTTTTACCACAATAACTTCTTTAGAATTGCATATTATAAATTTTTCTTAAATGGTTTGAATCACATATTGATGTTTTGAGAATTTAAAATAAATTATAAATATACCTTTTAAGATTTATTTAAAATATAAATTATTCCATATTAGAAATATATTTCAATTAACAATTCAAATAATTTTATTGTATAAGAGAGAGAAGTTAGATATTTCTTTTTTTTTTTGCTAATTTTATTAAATAAAAAATTCTAATAATAGGATATTTGTAATTTTCAGAATCATAAAGGACAATCTGTATTTTAAGTAAATCTCAAATAACAAATTCCTAATATATCCTAAATTTTAAAATAAAAATTTCGAATATGTAATATTATTAAAAAACGGAAAACCAAACAAAACTCATGTAATGAAATCCGGATTGTCCATATTGATTTTTCCTATAATGATTTTTTATATGATTATTGTATTCTCAATTTTTTATTATTGGACTGTACGTTTAATTTTTGTAAAATTAAATCTGAATAATTCAAAAAAAAAAAAAAAGTCCCAAAGTATATTCTTCCTCTTGTTTTACTGGAAGCTTTTGAAGCTCCCTGGGTACTTTCTTGTCCTATATAAAAAATAATAATAATTCAAAAAAATATTTTAAAATGATTCTAAAACACTCTTACCTGGTGTAATCAACCTGAAAATGTCAATATAATTAATATATCTTAATTTGGAAGTAGTACAAACGTGCGAGGCCCAAGAGAAAATATCAAAGGTGGGTGAAAGGTTAAAATTGAGATTCGGTTTGCATGTTTTAGTTCACACTTGTACGAATTTGTCTATTATTCCAATTTGATTCCATCTCCAAACCCCTTTCACACTGCAAAATACTCATTTATAGGCTTTCACTTAACTTGGTTCGGCTAGGCGGCTTTGTTTCACCGGCTTCATAAAATGATACTAAAAGATGGCAAAGGCTTCTCTCCGGTGCACTTATGGCATGTAAGCCACATTTGTTTGTTAAATTAGATTAAATGAGATTGTTAGTAAATGAATACTTAGTAAAAAAATTATTAATGTGAGAATTGTTATTAAGGTGATTAAATAAAAATGTATTTATTTTGATAATAGTGTAAAAGATGGTTACTGATAGAATTGTTAAATTTTTTATATAAAATAAATTAATTAATTAATTCAATATTATAAAAAATTTAAAACAAATATTAAAAGAAACATGTGCACTTGGTAAAAATAAAAAATAAAAAAACTTTCTTGATGCGCTCACTATTTTCCTAATCTCACCTTCTACCCAGCCAAGCTAATCCTCCTACTAAAAGAGATTACTAACTCCCTTGGACTATTAATCTGGCCTCTTATTTTAACACCAAACACGCTGTGGGTAGGGCCCACATTCATGGTAATCCAATCCGGCCACTAAAACCGATAAACAAACATGATCGTATGGTGCCCTATGGTAGGTCTAGATCAAGGTTCATCTTGATAATTCAAATCGTTCAATATGTGGGACTTGTTAATTATATCATTTTTATCAAAAATCATGTTGATGGAATATCAATATCCACTTGATCAAATCACATTTGTGTTAACAGTTTATTTTGAAAATCATACTTGTTGTAGACACAAATGTGATCTGATCGAGTGGCTATTAATATTTGATCAACGTAATTTTTTACAAGAATACCTACTCATTGAATACTTTAAATCATCAAGATAGACCCGGAATAGGGCCCACCATGGGCCCATAGCAACCTCAACCCCGATTGCAGATGGACTGGATAGGAGCCAAACTCCCAAAATATTCTATTGGAAAATATTGTGAAGTGAACAAATTAATTATAAATTAGTAATGTGTCTTACTCACGAGGACTCCTATCATAAGACACAAGTGAAAGACAAAAAAATTAAAAAAACACAAGACGTTTTTTCACTTTATTAATACGCTTTTAGTGAACTTAATACATTTTTTAATAGTTTTACATATTTTTAAAGTAATTTTTGAATACTATCTAACATTATACAATACTCATAAAACATTTGTTAGCATTTACTGTTAATAATATGAGTCAAAATAGTGTCTCTGTCACGTGTCTCACTTACATTTTATTGATTTAAAATTTTCATTTATCTAATATTCCTCATTTATACTCTATAATTGTTACATATATGCATATAGGTAACTTTTTAACTTCAATAAATAGGAGGGAAAAAAAAGTTACTCTTTGACTTGAAAAAAAATAGGAAAAATTATTGAGAAATTCATTTTTAGGAAGGTGTATGACATTACATCTAAAGATTATTTTATTTTTGTTATAAGAACATTATTAATAAAATTATTTAATGAGAAAGATAAATTATTATTTTAAAAAATATTTTTTTTTATTTTTACACAGTAATTTTGAAAAAATGAGAAAGATAAATTATTATTTTAAAAAATACTTTTTTTTTATTTTTACATAGTACTATTGAAAAAGTCATCCTCACTGAAAAAGTCTTAGAGGTGGTCAGCGACTGGTAATGGTAGCTAGTGATGTCTTGTGGTAGTGATAATATGAACAGATAGGTAGATTAGATAAATAAATAAGTAGATAAATATGTGGACAGATAGATGGAATAGTGGAGATAGATGTAATATGATCTTTCAAATTATTATTATTATTATTATTATTATTATTATTATTATTCCTATTTTCCCAAAAATTTAAAAATTAAATTTATAATCCGAGTGCCAAAAAAAATATTATGTAATTTCACGTATTATTAGACATCATTTACGTAATACTTAAAAAATTAAGAATCACAAAACACGTTA